AGAAGAACACCTTTAATTTAACAACATTCATTTTAAGGCCATAAAACATGACAAAGAGATTTAGTATATCAGAAATGACCCCTTCTTAGGAGTTTTAGAAACCTTCACAAAAAAAGAACATCACTAGCAAAAAATAAATGCGATAGGGAGGTTAATTACGAGATAACCTAACAAGTTTTAAATGGTCTTCATCAACTTCCCTAATGATTATTTGTGACAAGAATTCCATGAAGATAACGAAGACATACAATGAAAGGGGGGTCACCTTGTCATAATCCTCTAGTCAAAACAAAATTTGGCATGCCTCTCATATTCCAAAGAATAGACATATAGCAGTTAGATACACTGTGCATGATAAACTTTATAGAAATGAGAGGAAACCCGTTTTACTTAAAATTTTTTTTCAAGAAATCTCAATTAACATGATCATATGCCTTTTCAAGATCTATTTTGTACACCATGTTAACTTTTTTCTTCTTAGATTTATGCTTAAAATGAATCGCTTCTTGGAGAATAATGACTTTATCAGTTCTCTTTACTAGATAAAAAACTACTCTTGAAGAGTCCAACTATCTGATTTAGATAAGGTCACAATCTCTTAGCCATTATCTTCGTAATAATGGTATAAATAGTGTTACACAAGCTAATGGACCTGAATTCTTGAAAATTTTAGAGGTAGTCTACTTTAGGAATTAATGCAATAAGATTATCTGAAAAAGAGGAGTGAAAGCTACCCATCACAAAATCATTTGATGTAAGTTGGACGATGTCATTCCAACTATATGTGAAAACTGTTTAAAGAAAATACTCTAGAATCCATTCGGGAAAGACACCTTAAAATGATGCATTTGATTCACCATATAAGTAACTTCTTTGATCATCACTTATTAAGTCAAAGAGTGTTGGATTTCTTTACTAAAGATCAAAGCCATAATTGATCCACCCATACTAACAACAGTATATGTATGGCAGATAATACATTTAAAAATGACAATGCTTCTTCCCTCCAAATAATTTCATCATTACACCAATCACCATTAAATTACTTATTCAAATAAACTTCAATAAAAATTAAAGAGAAATAATTATTATGTCTTTTTAAAAAAAGTTATAATTTATTACACATTAATTAATCAAATCTATAATAAAAACAAATATTATATATTCGTTGGATATTTTATTTTATTTTGTGTTTTTTAAGGAATAAAAAAAAGTAGAGACACGTGGAAATAAACTGTTGATATATGATAGTGGAATTGTAGAAAACTGAACCGTACAAAGAAGATAATACGATGACCCTTTTGTGTTCTTCGTTGTAACAACTTGTAACAACATATACAATTAATTACACAAAGAAATTATTAATTTATTTTTTTATTCATGTTTATAAGGCACAAATCTTTCTCCTATCTTTTTTCTTATTTTTCTTCTTCTTGAACAACTATTATAGCAGGTGCTACTGCCTCCGGATGTTAAGCAAGATGTCATGACATCTTGACCAACGATCACAGTAGGTACTGTTGTTGCATCTGGAAGATTTTGATTTAATTTTGTGAGATTTCCTATAGATACATATCACATATTTGTGCATGCTCAAAAGGATTTATTTGGAACAAGTTGTTTTATCTCCAACCGTGTCTAAGTTTTTAAAATTGGATATTGAGACAATTTAGGAAACTTGTGATTTTCTTGTTCCATAATTCAAGGAGATTTTTCTGCATAATTGATGCAACCCTCAACTTATGGATCAATAAAAAATTGGGTGAAGATTACAAAGCCCATTGACTGTTGAGGAGTTTATAAAAGAAAGATATAAAAATGTTATTAAGAACTTAAGAAAAAAATAAGGGGAAGCTTGATATTCAAGAGTCTTAGGGTTTGAGAGTTTTTTCAAGTGTGTTTTGTTTTTGTATGTCACTCATGTATCATTGTTTGATACATAGAATTTGACTGATTGTGCATTGTTCATTGTTAATCACACATGAGCTTTTAAGCAAAGAGTGAATTATGTGTAATTGGAAGTATATTCTTCTGTTTTGGTCTTTTGTTATTATCATTAAGGTGATTGTGAGAAGTGGGAGGGGGTTCTCATATCTAGGAGGTTCTTAGGTAGAAATTGCATGGATAGTGATTATGTGATAAGTTGTAAACTAGGGTTGTTTAGATTTGAACTAATACTATCATAGTGGATTTTCTTCTTGGATTAGATGTCCCTGTATTAGGTGATGTTGCACTGAACTGGGTTAACAATTGACTGTGTTATTTATCTTCAATAATTTAATTTCTGCATAATTCATAGTTTCTGCAAACTGTTGTATTGGGAAGATGATGTCTTAACATTTGTACTGACATTGTATTTTGGTGTTGTGACATCTGTCTTAACATCTATTTGAAAGTGTCAGAGTTTCAGATACCATCTAAATTGCCTTTCCAGGTTAACCAAAGAATTCAAACAAATGGGAAGCACTTTCAGACGATCACAAATAACCAGAGGAATATTAGTATATAATGAATTGAAGTTCCAATTCTTATATTAGTAAACATCATCCACTTGCATTTCAAGATCATGGATATCCACATAGAGAACTTGCTCCAATAATTTCCTTACCCCATACCAATTGGAAATAAGAATGAGCAATTTTTATCCCCCAATTTAAATTCAAATCCATCTTAAAGAAGAGAAAGAACTTCCATAATTGCATTCCAAGTAACTGATCTCAATTTCTTTTTCAAATTAAGGAATGTTTCCCACTGATGTATTTATGCTTTAAAACTTAGACCCATAGGAAATCACAATCTCGGTGGAGACCCCAAATAAGCTTACCCAACATAAAAGTATTGAGCACTCTTGCTTTTCAGATCCCAAGATCGCCTAGATTTTTGGGCTTAATGATTTTATTCCAATCAACAAGATGTACACTAGAGTTTGAATTACATTTTCACAAAAAAATTCCTAGCCATCCTATCAATAAAATTACAAGTTGGTTGAGGTAGTCAAGCCACTTGCATATAATAATTTGGGATTGAGTTCAAGACAGATCTAACCAAATTCAAACGATCAACCTTGTTTAACAATTTATGTTGTCAAGATCCTAACCTCTGGCTGATTTTCTCCTATATGATCTCAAAGTCTTTGTGTTGAAGATGAGCATGCAACATAGGGAAACCAAAGTAATTCTCTAGAGTAAGAGTTTGCTTGATACTTGTGTTGAAGACAATTAAAACCATTTTACTCCTTTTATTGGTAGCAGAGAAGAACACTTTTGATTTAGCAAAATTCACTTTAAGACCATAAAACATGACAAAGAGATTTAGTATATCAAAAATGATCCATGTCCGAGAGTTAGAAACCTTCACAAAAAGAAGAACATTGCTAAAGATAAATAAATGCGATAGAGAGGATCCATTACAAGATAACCTGACAAGTTTTCAATGGCCTTCATCAACTATCCTGGTGATTATTTGTGACAAGAATTCCATGCAGATAAGGAAGACATATAATGAAAGGGGTGTCACCTTACCGTAATCCTCTAGTCAAAACAAAATGTGGCATGCCTATCATATTCCAAAGAATAGACATATATGAGTTAGATACACTGTGCATGATCAACTTTTTAGCAATGAGAGGTAACCCGTTTAACTTAAAACAAAATTTCAAGAAATCCCAATTAACATGATCATATGCCTTTTCAAGATCTATTTTACACACCGTGTTAGCTTTTTCTTTTTTGATTTACACATAAAATGAATCACTTCTTGGAGGATAATGACATTATCAGTTGTCCCTTTACCAAATAAAAACTACTCTTAAAGGATCAAACTATCTGATTTAGATAAGGCCGCAATATGTTAGTCATAATCATCGTAATAATGTTATAAATAGTGTTACACAAGTTAATAAACCCGAATTCTTTAAAATTTTGGCGGTAGTTTATTTTAAGAATTAATGCGATAAAAGTCTCCAAAAAAGAGGAGTGAAAGTTATCCGTCACAAAAGCATCTGATATAAGTTGGACGACGTCATTTCAACTATATGTAAAAATTGTTTAAAGAAAATACTATGAAATTCATAAGTGCAAGACACCTTAAAATGGTGCATTTGATTCATTGCATAAGTAACTTCTTCTATCATCACTTGTTAAGTCAAAGAGTGTTAGACTTCTTCAATAAAGATCAAAATCATAGTTGAATCATCCATACAAACTATAATATATGTACGACAGATAAGACCTTTAAAAAAGTCAATACTTCTTCTCTTACAAGAATATCATCATTACACCAATCACATTAAATTAGTTATTCAAATAAATTTCAATAAAAATTAAAGAGAAATACCTATTATATCTTTTTTTAATTATAATTTATTACACATCAATTAATTAAATCTATAATAAAAATAAGAATAATGTTATTTAGTATAAAACAATTTGAAGAAGAATACAAAAATACATACATGTCACTATTTTAGAGGTGAATTTTAAATTAAATTTTCTTTATACTTGTGGAAGTAAATTGTTGATATTTATTTTCACATTTTCTTATTTTCACATTTTCTTACTAATAAATATTTTTTAAAAACAAATATTATATCTTGACACGATATTTTAATTTATTTTACTTTGTGTTTTTTAAGGAAAAAAAAAGAGTAGAGACGTGTGGAAGTAAATTGTTGATATATGATGTGGAATTGTAGAAAAACGAACCGTAGAAAGAAGATAATGCGGTGACCTTTTGTATTCCTGGTTGTAACAAGTTGTAACAACATATAACGTTGATTACACAAAGAAATTATTAATTTAACTTTTTCTGTTCATGTTTATAAGGCACAAATCCTTCTCCTATCTTTCTTCTTCTTTTTCTTCTTCTTGACCCTTTTATTATTCCTTTCCCTCCTTATTAGAGGGAAGGAAAAGAAGAACTAGATAATTTAATTTTTTATTTTTATTGTTAACTATATTCGTTTTCCCCTTTTTGGGTGAAACCAAAAAATCACAAAAAAAATGGATTCATCCAACGATGCAGTTTCTGGGTTCAAAGATAAGGAGTCAATGGTTGACCCTTTTTTGGTTGAAGCTCTTCAGAACCCTCGTCATCGTCTTACCAGTTAGTTTCTTCTTTAACCCTATTTAGGTTTTGGTTTGAATCATGTCAGATCTGGATTAGATTTTGTTGTTTTCTGTGATGTTTTGATGATTTGAGATTGGTACTGTTGATTTGATGTGTAATTTTTGGGTTAATTGGATGTTAATTTGGGGTGGGGTGTTGTGTTTCAATTTATGCAAATTTGTTGTTGGTTAATGTGGGTGTTGTGTTTCAATTTATGCAAATTTGTTGTTGGTTAATTGTGTGAATTCTAGCCCTAGGTTTGGTTATCTCTATCAATTTCCCCTTTCTGGCTGTATTTTGGTTATTTTGTTAATTCGTGTGTTTTACTTTGTTTGTAACTTTAGTTCTGAGGATGGAGCTGGATATCCAGAAATTTCTGAATAATGCGGATCAACAGCATTTTGAGTTTCAGCATTTCCCTTCTTCCTATCTCAGATTGGCTGCTCATCGTGTTGCTCAACACTACAGTATGCAAACAATGGTTCAAGATAATGGCTTAGATGGCCAGAGTAAAATTCTGGTCAGGAAGTTACCTGAAAGCAAGTATCCTGTGGTTCGGTTGTCTGAAATACCTGTAAAACAGTTGGACAATGAGAAATCTGAGCAGAAAAAAATTGTTATTCGACCTAGGCCTAATAAATGTTTGAATGGAGCCAATGATTCTGCTAGAAAAGGAAATCCTCTAAGAAGCGTGGAAGAGAGGAAGGAGGAATATGATCGGGCAAGAGCACGTATCTTTAATGGCTCTACTGGCTTTGATTCAAGTGATACCCTGGCTTTGGTCCCAATAGATGGGAGAAGTTCTTTAGTGAACAAGGATGAGAGTGAAACTAGCAAAATACCCATGACTGATTCTGAAAGATACATTAGTATGAGAGATAATAGTTATCCTCGAGTTGCCATTATCAGAGATAGGGAAAAGGATCGAAGTGATCCAGATTATGATCGTAGCTATGGAAGGTGAGTTTTATCTATTTACCTTAACTTTCCGAATCTGCGTGTCATAATTGCAAGTACAGCATTATTTTTTCATTTGGTTGTGCTACACTGTCTTTTGTTTGTATAAGATTATAAGTGAAAATAAAAAAAGCTATCTTTTTCGTGCGAGAGATAGAAGAGGAAGAGCCAAGAATGAAGTTTATTTTATCTTAGTGTCATTTAAATTGAACTCTTGATTCTATAATTTATAAAACTCACCATGTAATGTTTAGAGACAACTTCTGTTATTTTTTTTGTTATCTTGTAGTTGATGTATTTGTACTGATTTTAACTTTAAAAGCTTGTTTGGATTGATTTATTTGAATTTATCTATTGGTACAAATACTTATGAGACTGTTTGGGAGAGCTCTATGTTGTAGCTTGACACTTTTGATTGAAGGTGTGTCTGCTGTCAGACACGACGCTGACACATTTTACATTCAATCAATTCATTTTCTTTAATTATTATCGGTGTAGATGTGTTAGTGTCGTATCTTGTGTGCATGTTAGTGTCGTGCCTTGTGTGCTTGTTTGTGTCGTGCATTATAGGGATAGCTTATGGAAACAACTTATGACACGCCCACAAGCTCTCATGATTGCGTACGAAAACAACTTATAACTTGTATGGAAACTGTTTGATTGAAGGTGTCTGGTGTCCGACACGACGGTGATACATGTTACATTCAATCAATTCATTTTCTTAAATTATTATCGGTGTAGATGTGTAAGTGTCGTGTCTTGTGTGTGTGTTTCTGTCAATGCATTCATTATAGGGATAGCTTATGGAAACAACTTATGACACCCCCACAATGCTCTCACCATTGATTATGAAAACAGCTTATAACTTGTATGGAAACTGTTTGACTTCATTTCATCTTTTGTTATAAAAATAATGTTTACATCAACATTTATATGATGGCCACCTATGGTATAAGCACTTAATTAAGTTGTTGATTCCAAACAGGGTCTAAATATATTGGCCTACTTATAAGATTGAATTTAATTATTGGTTCAGGTATGCTAGGAGTCTCTCAGCCTCTGCAGTTAATTTGGTGCCCTTTAATTTGCCAAAAGCTCAACCTTCATTTGCTCAGTATGACATTACTTTTAATCAGTTGGGTCAGATGTCACAAACTCAGGCTTCACTTGGATACAGACCTCCTTCAACCCCGATAATGAGCCCTTTTTGTACCCCAGGATTGAATCCAGCATCTGGAGATGGTGCTTACCTACAGTGGCCAAGTCCTACAATGATGTATGCACATTCATATGACCAATTTAGACATGCTGTTTACCAGGTAAACCACATTTCTTTCACTTAATTTATTTTTACCATGTTGAGTTTGATGAGTGATTTCTGTATTAGCTGCAAATACCATGACATGCTTGCAATAAATCTAATAATTTCTTAAATTGCCTAGGTGTTTTGCGTTAACCTTTTTGATTGTTTAGAATGGATTTTTGAAATGACTTGCCTTCTGGTAACTGAGTGATTATAGATTTGGATTATCAGGCTATTTTTATCCTCCAACTTGCACTATTCAAATTTTATGGGGAGGTGTACTGAAGTTATAGTTTTCAAGATTCATTTGAATTTTCCTGATATGTGATATGACTCACGAGTGTCACCATACCTATACCGACTTCCTTGACTATGCTCACTAAAATTGTGATATCTAGCATGTATTGTTGGGCTTTGTTAAGCTCAGATAGTGGTGCGGAGTGCCCAACTCCAGAACTGCCGAATTGGTATAGCGGATGGCCACTAAAATACAGTATACAAATTTTACAAAAATATAGATCACAACAGTACAGAGAAATACTAAAAAATCCTAATTAAAACAGTAGTCATATTTGATAATTATAATTTGTCACTTACTTTCAAAATCATAGCCCAATATAACATAACTACTAGTTCATGTTCTAAAAACATTTGAAATAACAAGTGAGCCTTTAAATAGAATCATCACTATCAGAGCAGAGTGTCTATTGTGTTGGGTGCTGGTTGGTCTTTACACTTGGCATGCACAAACGTCAAAAAAAGCGTAAGAACCTATAAACCAAGCCGAGAAAGGGTAGAGAACCTGAACTTGAATGTGCCAGTTGTCACAAACACAACTAGGTTGCCAGAAAATGCCTCCACCTTTGCCAGAGACAAACAGTCTGTGCTACTTTTGATCTTTGCTTGTAGAAATGCAGAGTAGTATAAAGTGTCCCTTCTGTGTCTTTGTTTTTTGTGAATTCCTAGGAAGAGAGGTTAGGCAACTTAAATTTAAATTGGAATAGTACAAAACAGCCTTTCTGAAGGGAAATTTTGCTGCTATTTGACTGATTTGCAGCCGTCGCTGCTTCAAATGCAGAAAATTAGGATTTAGCATCCCACCACAGTTTATTCCTGCTCCGCTATAGCGCCGATATTCCCACCACAGTTTTTGAACAAAGTTGAAATAAGTTGTTCAATTAAAGGAGTCACTTTATGGATGATTATTTTTTCTGTGGATGAATTTGCCCCAGGGCAAGGAATAGTTTTTTCCCTTGACTTTTAAATTCTCTAATTTTAGATGTTCTATAATCATGCATCTGAGATACCCTTATTTTTCTTTGCAGGCTCCATTTGGTCAACCGTTGAGCTTTGATTATTCACAGAACTATTAGATGTGTAGGGAGGAAGGTTTGGATTTGGATTCAGAAGTTATGTTGTTAGCCTTATAGGAGATCTCATATTAGGTTCATTTTTCAGTACTTCTTTATAGACCTTTGTTTGTTTTCTGTTATTGTAGTATGTATGACTTTGATTTTCAGTTTTGATGGTTACAGTACTTCTTCTTATGTTACAGTTTATAAAATAGTGAACTCTAGTGGATTATGCATTTGTTATAACATATTTGATAATGTTTCTGTGGTGGATTTAAAATACATATTTATCTAATGTTGGGGAGGCACATATAAGTAATTTGTTTACTGCATCCGTGCAAGATAATGCTGTAATTGCATCTATATTACATATTTGTTGATCTGCATCCTCCTTTGGAAAGATGACAAGTTTTATTAGTTAATTTGATCAATTTGCAGGATTAAAATTACGAGTCTATATAAAGACGGCTCTATACACTTTTTTTGAATTAATCAATATATTGAGAGCCGTTTCATATTAAGATTTCATCACATACATTATTTATATTATTCTTCATTCACACTCATATAGAAGCAATTTTCAAAAATAATTTTAACACTTTTTATTACTTCCAACAAACTAAAAATTCAATTACGTCGGATAGAAATAGGTGTGACTGTTGAAGTGAGTTCGTTGGAATGACAATTGGGTCAAACCCTAATTTTAATTTAGGGCGAAGCTCAATGTTCACGATGGTCTGAATAAAAATAGATTTTTGACGGTGGAATTTAAGTTTGCCGAAATATATAGATTTTTGACAGTGGAATTTAAGTTTGCCGAAATATAAAATATGTTGTGGCAATTTTGTTGAGTGAGAACGGGTGGCTTGGAGATCATTTTTATCTTCAAACAATTTATGTTCTCCGCCTCGATCCCCAAGGGAGGTAGAGATTTAAAAACCATTCATTTATCACTATTTATTTAATTAAATCAATTTTTTCAAATAGAAATATATATTCTTTAAAAATCTAATAAAATTACAAATAATAGAATAAAAACGTTGGATCATATATTTGATGAACAAGCAGGATTCGGGAGAAGGTATTAATATTTTCATTAAACAATCAATTTTCATATTTTATAACTGGAGAAAATTCAATCCAGTTAAAGTGGATATCTCATCAAATTTGGGATGACTATTATGGGAGGATTTAACTTACATTCCCACACTTATATTTGGAATCTCCATTTTACATGTTTTTTATTATTATACCTTTGTCTAAAATTAATAAATTTCAAAGAATATGCGGTTTATCGGAAATGAGTACCGATATTTTCAAAAATATACTGAAAATTTTGAACAAATAATTGATTTCTTTGAAAAATCTGATAGTTTATTTGGAATTTTTTTTTACTATCAAATTTTTTGAAAGATGTCAAGTTAAACTTGTTAGATTTGTAAGATGTCTAAGTTTAATTCTCCTTTCAATGAAAGTTTTTGATAAAATTTTCTCTTTTAAAATTGTCAAGAGGATATGTGAATCTAGAAGATTTGGTTGGGTAGGAAGTACAAAATGGAAGTATAAGGAAGTTATTTTTATATCTAATATAGTCCAACTTGTAATCCAAACAAAAATATTCCAACCCATAATTCAAATAAAAATGACCTAACCCGTTGATAAATGATTAGTTTGTGTAGGATAATCATTTTAAAAAATGATTTCTTATTCCACCATATAAGGTTGAAAAACACTTTATACAATTTTAAAAATGTTTTTACTGATATATTTTTACTGATACAAAATATATATTTGAAATATATATACAAAATATCCGTTGATAAATGATATATTTTTATCGGATAATCAGAAGTGTATTTCTAATATACATCTATATATATAATTCATTTATTTTTTAAATTCGTTATATTTTATGATAAATTTTATTCTAATAAATATATTTTCAAAAATTTTCAAAAATATATTTCCGATAACAAAAACTATTATAAAAAACCATTATAAAAAACTGTTGTTACGTTCTCTTACCATTTTTAGCTTTTTGTCTCGCTTTCTTCTACAACTATGTTTGATTCCGTTCTAACATATCTACCAAACATTATCTTATCTCCTATATTCATACTATCTTATCCTCCACTCATTGTAAGCCAGCTTCTGCTCTATGTTTTGTTGAATAAACATTTTCAATATTCATATAATATGCATATAATAAACTCATAAAAAAACAGTGCAATCTTAGATACTAATCATTTTTGGAGTTCAAGCCATCACAGAAATCTAAAAAATAAATAACTGAAATGAAAAGAGATATCTTTTCAAACAAACTAAACTACCCATGAAGAAATGTTTATATTTTTTCCTAACTAAAATAGTAATTTATTCATTAACACTCGTTTTTCCTTAACAGAGAGGATCTTACCTATTCCCGGCAAAGTCGAAGCGAAAAGCACTGATTTCCATTTTTTTTCCAGAGCACCAAGGTTTAGTATGGGGATCCTTTCCTAGATAGCAGTGAAATCATGAATTTATATAAAACGATTCTGAAATGCAATAATGGTTGTGCTAATCTCATTTCTTTATAACTATTTCAACTGATACAGTATTTTATCAGAAGTATATTTCTGAAAATTTCAAAAATATATTTCAAAAATAAAATTTATTGTAAAATCAGATGAATTTTAAAAATAAATGAATTATATATGTGTACATGTATACCGAAAATACATTTTTGATTTTTAAAAATATTTTTAGAATTTCATGAAATGCACTAGAAAAATATGAGGTAAAATAAGAAATTCCTTTAAAAAATGTGAGATTTTATTCTAACACTTTTTATTTTGATTTTGCACTCTTCAAAAATATCGTTTTCATTTATTTTATTAATAATTTTGTGAGAAAATTCTGATAGGTCAATAAAAAAATTTGGTATGATACAAAATAATTCAGTAAATCCGATATGTATTTTTACTAAAATTTTAAAAAAATCGATGCATGGCAAAATTAGCCGATTTTTTTTCAAAAAATCTGAGATTATCGAATTTTTTTCCATAGTTATGAAAAATTCAGTAATGTTACTTTATCGATTTTTTTTTGGTTTTTTCAAAATATCTAGAAATTAAACAAAAAAAATCATGTATTTACTAATACTTTTGAAAAATGCAGTATTTTATATGTATTTTACCAGAATTTTTAAAATTGTTGATATACATATATGTTTTTAATCGAAAATTTCAACTTTTTTAAAAAATACTGATAAAAAATATGTAAGAATTAGATTTTAATGAACATTTCAAAAATTCTGATTAAAATATATAATTGTTTTAAGAAAAATTCGGTATAAATTCAAAGTTGGCCGATATAAATTTTATAAGAAAAATGCTTTGTTTTGGTAAAAATTCGACAGAAGTTTCTAAAAATGCGGCAAAAATCCATGATTTTTCAAAATCTCAAAAAAATAACATTTTGAATAATAAAAAATTTATGCAAGTATTGAAGTAAAAACACAACAACTAAAAGGTGTTGGGTTACATCGAAACGGTGATTAGACAAATTCTCTCTAAAAAAAAAAAAAGGAGAATTTCTTAATTTATCCTATAATTTTCTTACGCATTAGGTGAATTTTTATAAATATTTCTTAAAATAAAAAATATGTTTCCGGTACGCATCTAGATCTAATAAAATATACATAGAAATCAAAAATTTAATTTCGATTTAGAATCAGAAGTGTATTTTCGATTTTATTCTTTACAGAAACTAGAAAATATTATTGAATTGCATCATAATCTCACAATATAATTCAGTCCATAAAATCAGAATTATACTTCCGATTATATATGAAATGTCAAGGTGACAACAAAATTCACTCTTCCCGCTAATAGAACCGGAAACAGAATTCTGATTTAGAAACGAAAGTATACCATCAGTACCGTTTTTTGCATTTTGAAAGGTGTAATCACATTTAATCTGTTTTGTGCAAAATATAGTACAAATCAGAAATGTATTTCTGATTTTCTGAGGGACAATTTCAGAATTGCATATGATGTCCCTTTTCCATATGAGGTGGATAAGAAATTTCCAAAAAAATGTTATACGGTGGCTAGTTACCATTGAAATACAAGGTGGATATATATATATATATATATATATATATATATATATATATATATATATATATATATATATATATATATATATATATATATATATATATATATATATATATATATATATATATATATATATATATATATATATAGAAAATGGGATGAGAGACATTCTATTTAAGAATTGAATCACTCTGGACCTTATAAACTTTATAATGTCACCAGAACACTTTTCGAAGATGCATCTCCGTATAAATCTTACTACTTTATGAAAAAAAGGTCTTTTCGGATATGCACATTCTAAAAATTTCATGGATTCTCTTTTTAAATTAACACGAGGTTTACCCATATATGCATATTCGAAATCACTCATGAACCAGAGCCACACCAAAAACTTAGAAAATATAAATAGAAGTTGTAAACAATAAAATGAGTAAATAAAAACGATCGATATTTGCGTCATAATTACTGAATATATACTAATTATGTATTAAATCGTATCAAGATTACATCGTTGACGACAATACATTAAAAAAAAGTATCAATTACAATCTAAAATACATCAAAAGATTCATCACCGCATAAATCTACAACTGGTTCTGTCTTCAATTTTTCCTGATTTGACTCTTTTTCAAGCTCGCTCAATTTGATGAACTCTTCCATCCTATCCAGAAATTGATCCGACCAAATTTCTTCCTCTTTCGTTGAATGTACTTAGTATAAGACACCTCTATTTCAAATAAACCTCAACAAAATATAGCGATTTTGAAAGCTACTCCGAAGTGGGAAAAATGTCTTCGAGAAACCATATTTTGTCAGATCTATACACACACTATCTATGTATTTTCTATAAGATTACTCATATCAAGGAAGCACATCCATTTTGAAAATGGTGCATGACCGCTAACACAAGGAGTAAGT